TCTGATGATTAGATCATTGTGGATTAAGCTGGGATAGGAGCGTCGTTTCGCCTTTTGTAAGCGACGTGGGGCTCCCGATCAGTTCGTATCCTCATTATTCTGAAACTCCGTTACTTCACGTAGTCCGTCGATCCACTTTAAGCGTTCGTCGACGTCAATCAAGCTTCTGTGAACCGGATAGTGACGTTCATCGTCTTTTCTTTGCGCTGAGCTGTTCGTGGAGACCTATAGGTAATTTTCGATGCCTACAGAGAGCTTGTAATTCTTCTTCAATTAATAAAAGAATTGTGTGGTGTGGCTCCCGAGGACGTAGGCACGTTGCCGAACCTCGTTAAATCTGTGTGTTCGTCTCTTTTATCTTCTTTACAAGTTTTTATTTTTATTTATGGTGAATTTCCTACTTTCCTACTTCCAACACAAGGTTCGGAAGGGCAAGGATCCGATTTGATTGTTTCGGATTCCCCAACAAAAATAATCATAAGTGTACTACAACTTTTTCATATTAATTTGACACTATCAAAAACAAAAGAGTAGGGTGCTTTTCTGAAAATTATAAAATTAAAAAGTGATGACTCATCATGACCATGTTCTTTTGTTCGTGATATTACCAAAATGATATAAAAGTTATAGTACATTTATCATTACTCGTTAATGAATTTTGTTAGTAAAAAAAATTGACTTGATTGTACGCGAACACAATGCGATTGAGACTCCACTCGTCATGATTTTGACTCTAGTCTCTTTCAAAAAGAATGCAATGAGAAAGTAGACAAGAAATAACCAATAACGTACGTCACCTTGACCTCAATTTCACATGCTTAATTAAAAGACAAAAACAAAGTGATAGCCACACGCAAATGGTCTCCACCACCATTTCTTGTCTTCCCCAAATTCATATTCAATCGAACTCTTCATGCCTATCTTTTCTCATATTATATCCAATAAAACCATAGATGACAACAATTTCCCAATAAAATGACTGTCAAAGAGTATGAGTCTCTATCCAAACCACTCTTTCATCATAATTACAGGTCTTAAAAGTTTTTTTTTTCACGCGGTAAATATCTTGATAAAAGTTATATTGACGTTACAATGCTTAATCATAATTGTCTACTACTTGTCTTCGCATCTCGTCTCCATTCAACTCTCCTAATTATTACTGTCTTCATCTTTGTCGTTTTATTACTATGGTTGACTTTCTAGTCTCCCCGTGTTGAGATCATAAGCTTTGGGCAAAAATCATGCAGTCATGTAATTGTATCAATTACAAACTAAACCTTATTCGAGATCCTCTCATCATTTTTAGTCTTTTTCGTACACTGGCTATCCAATCTCTTTATCTCTTCCTCCTCACCTCCCACCAGTCATTTTTAGTATTTTTCGTACACTAGCAATCCAATCTCTTCCTCTCTTCCTCCTCACCTCCCACCAGCAGCAATCAAAAATCAAATTTGTCATTAAGGCATTGAACAAGCTCTACGATTTTCAAAAAAATATAAATCTTATCAGAACATCTTACATATAAATTAAAATAATATTAGACTTTAAGATTGCAAGGAAGATCTACATCTAAAGAGTACAAATACCAAAACATCTTGCATGTGAAAAGAGTGTTATAAACCAAATGGGGTTGGAAAAATTCGAATTTTCAGTTGTCTGCTATATGATTCAAAACATCTCGCTCGCATGTGAGGTGTTTTCTCCTTGGGCTGAGATGACTGATCAAAATTGTTCATTTGTTGGATGCGGCTCATTCAAGTCTTTCTTTATTATTAGGGTTTTCCCTCCTAGAAACCACCTTGGGGTCATTTCACAGAAACCACATTTCATTTTCAATTTATATTTAAATCTTATTTAAAGTGAGTTTTCGTTCCAATCAACAACTTCCTAGTCAAATTTTCACCAAGGGGCTGTTTGGTTCGCTATTTATAAGGGGCGGAAAACTCAGAAAACCCCTCCACGTCAGATTTTTAGCCCTCCACGTCAGTTTTTTTGTAAAACCCCTCCACGTCAGATTTTTAGCCCTCCACGTCAGTTTTTTTGTTTCCGTCCATTTCTTTGTGCCGCTTTGGTTTTTTTAGCCCTCCACGTCAGTTTTTTTGTTTCCGTCCATTTCTTTGTGCCGCTTTGGTTCGCTCGGATGAAAGAGGGAAAACTATGTTGAAATTGCCGCCAGCTCAGATTTTTTTCCCTCTCCGATTTCCTTCCCCAACCGAGTGAAATTGATGAAAACCCTGCCACGTCAGATTTTTTTCCTTCTCTGCTTTGTTTACAAAAGTTTTCCTTTTTTTTCTAGGCGAACGAAACACAAGAAAAATAAATACATTGGTTTCTCACCACTTTTTATGTGCGAACCAAAGCAAAACAATCTATTTATTGGAAAAGTTTGGAAAACTCAAATCTTATATTTCTTTACATGGAATTGCATTTCCATATATCAAGGAAACGAACCAAACAGCCCCTAAAAACAAAAATAGCAAAAACACGTTTAACGTATGTGCCTTGTATCCTAAATAGATCTAAACATTAACAAGAGTCACATGTTTACGGGTGGGTAGTGGCTTGTGCTAGATCATCTCGCGAGCTAGCTCGTGCGGGCCCATTAACGGGATGAGCCAACTCGTGGCTCACAACCAGTCTAGTGAGATGTTTTTTTGCCACTTGCTTTTAGACCTAGAGCTTAGCTCAACCCACTCACGGGTCTGACAACAAACGAGACGGCCCATGGCATGGGTCAGCTCACATAACCCACTTAATTATTTGTTGTTATTTTTTAATTATTTTAAACAATTTTAGCATTGCGCTTAATAAATTATATATATGATTATATATAATATTATATATATATATATTATATATTATATATATATAATATATATATATATATATAATATATATATTTATATAGTATATAAGAGAGAGAGAGAAGAGAGAAGAGAGAGAGAGAAGAGAGAGAAGAGAAATGGTTATGCTTGTACCGCAAGCATAAAAAGTTATGCTTGGCAATTAGGTGGCATAATCCTCCACTCTAACTTCAAGATGATTGGCATATGCTATTGCATCCTTAACACAGTGAATGTGTCCCTACATTGAATGAAGTGGAGAGGCAGTGTGCCACCTACTACCATCCACAAATTTGTGCTTGTACCAAGCATACCGCCATATTCTCTACATATATATATATATATATATATATTATATATATATATATATATACTATATATATGATATATATATATATATATATATATAGTATATATATATATATATATTAATATATATACAGACTAACAATAACAATTAATGGAATATGAAAAAATAATTTCACTAAAGCAAAGTTTTATATTTGTACACAATGATTGAGAGAAAACATCGCAAACAAAAAAAAAATTTAATGTGGTTTAGAGCGAATTCTACTTCCCTGAGCAGGAAATTCCCTAGTTTAAAAACATACTAGAATAGAAAAAATTAGAACAATTTGATAACAAAATATATAATAATAACAATAAAATGCAAACCATGAGCCAGGATGAGAGGGCTAGCGTCCCACTTGCAAGCCTAGCTCACTCATTAGGTCTTATAGACCGAGTGGGTCGCCGTCCCGCATATGGTTGGGGCTGACCTAGCTCATCTTATGGCCCACAGTTATAGCGGGAAGAGTTGGGCCTGCTCCCGTATTAGACGGGGTGGAGCCAAGCCAAAGAGCGGGATGAGCGATTGGGTCCATGAGCTAACTCGACCCAACGCCCACCCTTACACTTGTCTTGAATGTGAGGTTTATTTTTGATTTTTCAGTGAGAAATTTAACTGGGAACCGATTGATTGGAACAAAAACAAACTTTAAAAATTTGTTTACGTATAAATTTAAAATAAATTGTGGTTTCTGTAGGATAATAGTATTTTAAAGATGATTTCTGAAAAAACAGCCCGAAATTGCTACTACAGATCTTCACATTACCCGGTTGACTTTTCTAGTCTCATTGTTAAAAACAAAAGATTCCAAAAATGAATCATGTATTGATATAGCAATAATTTAATCCCAAACCGTCTAATTTTTTTTTTTAAAAATTTCCTTACATACTTGTATATCCAATCTCTTTTATCTTCTCCTCCTCAGCCCCCACCAACCAAAGATAACATTTTTCATCATTCTCTCACCCTCTTTCTTCCCTCCCAACATTATTTACCAATTGAAAAAAAAAGACAGAAAAGAAAAAGCTTATTTATATAATATCTAAACTAGAAACTCAACAAAACGACAAACCCTGATTTATAATTTAACCAAAAGCACCCAAAAGGAAACGAAAAAACTGCAAAAGGGGTTTAAAAAGGGAATGGTCTAGACAGCAAAAAGTAAAGCAGGCAAAAGCCGTGGAGCAAATATTAAAAGCTTACAGACGAGGAGGGGGTGAAAAAAGGTTAAGTGGCGGTTGTTGAGCCTTTTTTTCACTTACACCCTTACAACTTGCCAATATATTCAAAAACCTAAGGTTTGGACACCGACGTGGCATTCCTTTAACGAGTTCTCGCCGTCGTGTACGCAACGCCAGACGGGGGCAGACTGCTACCGTCAACACGACAGGTTGGCGACGACGACGCGGAGCTCAGAGCCGCCGTTGGGTGTTCGGACGAGGGCGGCGAGGAGCTGACGCCGGGGTGGCAGCGTGCGCGTGGATGATGCGGAGCAGGGAGATAGGGCATGAGGGCAGAGGCCTTGCCCTGCGAGGTACTGCATCGCCCACCCCATGTCCTCGCTCCATTAGCTTCCACTTTGGCTGCTCCGTTACCGTTAGCTGTCGTTTGCTGAGGCCGTTCCGCTGCCGTTGCTGTTAGGCCGCGTTCGCGGTTCTGAAAGGGAGCGACAATTCATGCAGTCAGTAGGTGAGGGGTGTTTATTTATTTATTTATTTTTTTGGCAAAATGGTGTTGGGTCGGGGGGGCGGGGGGCGTGCCCGCGTGGCGCACGCGTGATTCTGTCTCAAATCGTTCGGCTATGGTGGGAATGTGTTGAAGTTGCGTGGGCTTTTTTGTTAAATCGGTAATTAGTGGACTAGAGGGAGACGTAATTCCATATTACGTCAGGAGTTATCCCGTATATCATGCATAGCTCAGACACTAGCTAGAGACTTTTTCTACAGCTACAATTACAATTATATTCACGGGCTACGAGTAAATCTCAATATATAATTTTTATTAGGATGGCAACATAAAAAAGCTGTTGCAAATACTAAAAAAAACGAAAAAAAAAACTAGAGCTTCATTTTTCACTAGTCTGTGTGTTGGAACATTACATTTCTAAACGTACTTTCTTGTTCTGACCATTATTAACCAAACACATCATTAACAACTACTGATCGAGAAAAAATCTTAGAAATTAGCCTAACACACACCTGGACATTAGCTTTAGACTTGGCTTTTCTATCACTTAATTAGGTTGTTAAATCTAATTAACTCAAGATTATGCTTTATTAGTTAATTAATAATTAATAATTAATAAAGAGAGGGAGAGAAGGGGAAGGGGGAAGAGGGAACCTCTGAGGAGATATCGGCAACCAGAGGGGCGACAGCGGCAGCTCCGCCTAATCTGCTCATGCTAAGAACCTGAGTAATCACATGGGTTAATTAATTAATTAATTAAAGTAATAAATGGAAGTTAAAAAAGATTCGGTTAGTGCAAATTATTAGAAAGAGAAAGGACTAGTTTTATTAAATTGCCTTGACTTGGAGCTGCAGGAACTTTACATAGTCGATGATCTCATCCAGCATCGAGGCCTTGTCAGTCTGCCATTATTCCATCAATAATTAACAAATCTTTGCAGAAATGTAATCAGATAAAGATAATTAAAAAAAAAATTAAACAAAACAAGAGGGCGAGATTTGCCGTGTAGTGGGCCGGCAGAATCTCGAGAACCCAAACAGAAGAGAGGGCGTGAAGTTTTGTGCTTTGCATGTCGCGCTTTGTGGCCAACACGATAAGATGACCCAAGTCTGGGGTGTCTTTATAGAGATCCGCAAGAACATTATTACAAGATACTTAGGTCCTTTCTAACCAAGTATATACTAAAATATATTTGTATAACATGTGAAAATATTTTAGAAATTAAAGCTAAATAGCATACAGTCCTTTTTTCACATAAATAATTAAAGGGTAAATGACACTAACTTTATACATTTTTCAGTTAAGGCCCAATAACTTTCAAAATCACACTAAACAACGAGAACTTTCAGCGAATCACACTAAACCCCCAATAACTTTCAAAATCACACAAACTCCCAATAAGTTTTTACATTTTTCATATAAACCCCATAAAATAAAATAAATAAACAAATAAATGCATTTCAAAGGATAATCTCAACAAAATAAAAAATTAGAAAACAATTAAGATTTCAGACCCAACCTGAGGACGAACAAGAGAAGAACAAATAACAAAAAGCAAGAGATTACTCTTTTTGAGGTTGAAAATATAAATGTTTTTTTTTTTTTTTGCTTCTCAAATTTAAGGTTGAAAATAAGCCACGTGAGATGCATGTGCTACCTCAGATGTAACAATGACAGCTTTGGAGGTTTTCTATAACAGTTATCAGGGGTTTAGTGCGATTTCAAAATTTATTAGGGCGTCTTTAACTGCAAAACACGAAAAGTACTTAGGGTTTAGTGTGATTTTAAAGTTACTAGGTTTTTACTGAAAAATGTTGAAAGTTAATGGGGTTCCGCGTAATTACCCATAATTAAACCATAAAAAAATTAGTAAACTCATCACGGTGCCTTGGACTGTTGGAACGTGAGTTTGATTCCGACGGGTTATCCAAAAAAAAAAAAGGAAAAAAAAACCAACACTCCCGTTTTGAGAGGTTAATTCACTTTAATTGCAACTAAGAAATTTAGTTCACTTTAATTCGTTGCACGCTTTGATCAAGTTGTTATCAAATTTGACGAATTAAGACGAGTCTAATTAACTCTATGTGCATATTTTCGGTATTTGACGAATTAAGAGTTTAATCCTTTTCAGGTTCTCTCAGTTAACTTGCACACTACAGCTTGCTTTTAAACGGTTGAATTATTTTCTTTGGGGAAAGAATATCTTAGATAGACTTCTAAAAAAGCTGGCTAAAGTTGGATGTCCTCTCCTGAAAATTTTATCACAAAGCACCTAGAGGGCCCTACAACAGGGACAAGAGAAGAAGGCGCATGCTTTTTAATAATTTATTACTTTCTCCCATCTCCAGTTTTAATTGAATTACACAAGAAACCTCCAACCTTTATACTCTTTTCATTATTTCAAGAAAATAAATAAATTAATCAGAAGAGAACAAAGGGAGTTGTTACTACCTTGTTGGCGTTGGGTACCAGTTCTTGCAGAGCTTTCATTCTCTCTGCGATTCTCTCCCTCCGCAGCTGCAACAAAACAGAACAACCACAACAAACAAAATACAATTAAGTACCCCCAAAAAAAAAACCCCAAACTAAACTGATTCCCCATTAAAATTCAATGCCAGGAATGACAACTATTCTGAACATAAAACAATAATACTAGGTATTTATTATTAAAAATTTTTGTGCTTCTGGTATTATTGTGTTTATTATATAAGATTATAATTCCCAATCATCACTCTAATAATAGTATCAGAACTGCTCTAGATTAAACCTTATTTATCATAAAATTTTAAAATTGATCTTAAAAAATAGATATCATCGTGTCTAGATTACGCTCATAAAACGACATCCCACTGATAGGACATGCTCACTGAAATGACATATTAAAATATAAAAGACTTTGTCTGCAATTTACCGAAGAAAGCAAACTAATATAACAAAGTTGAGAGAGAGAGAGAGAGAGAGAGAAATAACGTTGAAAACATAGCGACTAAAATTACTTGCAATTAATTAACTAAAAATAAAACATATAGATCGAGATCACGCATGCAGGAGCACTTCGCTCCCACTTAGCATTTATTGAACTAGCCTAGGTTTCAACCGTATTTAATGAGCTCCAAAAACAATTCATTCTTATTAAAAAAAAATTCCGGTATTTTTTTTTTTTTTCATTTTTTTCTTACTCGTTCGGCGATACTATGCGGATCCGTGGCCTGACCTCTCCTCGCCCTCACCCTCTGC